TACTACTACTACCAGTACTACTCCTACTCCTACTCCTACTCCTACTCCTACTCCTACTCCTACTACTACTACTACTACTACTACCACTACTACTACTACTACTACTACTACTACTACTACTACTATTACAGTATTGTAGTACTGCTCTACTACTTTACCACTGCACTATTCCTTCACAATTAAGGTATTTGCTGTACAAGTTTACTAGGCCTCAGCCTTGGTCGATTGTGGGGGGAAGTCTAGGATGAAGACAAAAGGGGCGAACAAAAAAACGTTCAATGTGAGCCTCCTGAGTCTTAGTAGTGACCTTGGCATGGGCGAAACGTAATTGCGAGATTTTGGGACGTCCTAAATCTTCTTATGGTATTGCTGTTGTACTACTACAGTACCACTACTATGCCTGCATTATACTGCTGTACTATAACTGAACAACTACTGTCATGTTATTGCGCTACTCTTAAGTTACTACTTTACTATACTACTTTTTCACTGCTGCTGTTCAAGCTTTCTGAAGCTCGCACTGCACATCAACAGCAATGGCTCGCACTGCATCCGCATGGTGTATGCTTCGGCCCTAGTATTGCAAGCCACATTGTCTGCTGCATGCAGAAGCTCGGGTGAGGGTGAGCCAACAACCTCATCGGTTACCAAACCTCACGCACTCAAGGTGAGGAGAGCAACATGCCGAGACCAAACCCTCACGCATGGAGTCTCATGGAATCACCGGACTTCATCTACCTGCCACAATGACATGGGTCTGTGGTGCGCACCCTTTAAAATTCATCGTCATCCTCATGATCGACATCACCATCGACATCTTCGTCCTCAACACCATCTTAATCATCGTCTTCGTCGTTGTCGTCATCTCCGTCACTGTTTCCATGTCCCCGATCAACCGGTGTCAAGACACCACAGTGTCGTTGTCTTTTTTGTTTCAGAAGTTCGTGCTTGTATTCGTACATTCATCCCCCTGTAATAAGCTGCTTTGTGTCCATCACCCGTGTATCGTATGCATAGAAACATACATAAGGGGATTACGCATACTGCATATACATGATATTGTAGGTGGTGTGGATACCAAGGGCTTTCAGTTCAATGCTGTGGAATGGAAGGGTTCTTTCGGATTAATTAATCATATGTGAGGGGGGTTCTTTCCGAATAAAGCAAAAACGCGCAGATCTTTGAGGGGGGGGAAACATATATATATATATATACATACATACACACATGCATACTCCTTCCTTCGTTCGTGCACAAGCATGCACCGTAAACGATTCTAGATATAAGAAGCGAAAGAGGATCATGCGAGTGTTTTTTTTTTTGTGTGTGTGTGTGTGTGTGTCCTGTCAGTTTGTCCGTCTGCCTGCCTGCCGGCCGGCTGGCTGGCTGTATCCCAGAGTCTACACTACATTTCGTCAGACTAGAAGTTCCACGGCGAAGTACCGCTCTAGCGTGTCAGGCTGGCGACGGACCTCCACATTGAAGCGCAGTTGGTGGAGTTCGACAAGATCATGCCGCTTGCTGTACAGTGTGATGGTGTTGAAGTGACAGGCAGGCCCTTCCAAGAACGTGTACACCCGAATTTGAAGCTCGACTGCCTGGTGCCTAGAGGACTTCTACATGTGGCCCTTCGCCATAGATTACCTTTGGCTCACTGCTTGTGTTTGAGGGGCTACTTGTTGTGAATCCTAGTTGTTTTTGGCGGCCCTCTGCAACGCTCACGCAGCATGACTCCCAGCACGTTTCTCAAGTCTGTCAATAAACCTGAAGGGAGCTAGCCGTGAGGGTCTTGCATGTTGTCAGCCTCACTAAACGGCTCCAGAAAGTGGCCGTCTACTGCTAGTATGTGAGTCTCTAGATACGCACACGCGACGCGAAGGTAGGGCTGTGATAGGAAGGTGGCGTCGTGGACTTTAAAAGTACGCAGTCACCTGGTACAATGTTGCGTCCAGTTGGCCGTTCGTCTACCACCCTTAAACCATGCCTACCGCATCGCCTCTGCACTGAAAACTGCTAGTAAAGCAACCGTTTTTTTATACAAGTCGGATGAGTGTATCCTATAGACTCCTGGAGCAATTTAAGGGTGCCTATGAGGCTTCATATCTAGAAAGCTCAAGCTCCACAGCTCAATGTGGAAACTATACTTATAGACACTGTGGGAAGCTGTAAAGAGCTGCCGCTGCGGCCCAGGCTGAACATCCGCCAAGCAGCCGAAGAGCCCTTCGGAAATTAAATGACAGGGGTGGCTTTAGCAGCGGTTTAAGTTTATCTGATTCGTTGAGTGCGGAGGCCCCATATTAGGCCCATATTTCTTCAGGTCTTTGTGTAACCCTCACTCCTATTCTAATCGTGGAGATCCTTGAGCAGATTCGAGCAAATCACTGATGGCTCCGAATAATGACAAGAAATCATAGGTCAGGGTGCGGGGGAGGCAGAGGCAAAAGGGTCTACATCAATGAAGGCACAAGTCCTGAGTGGCTCAAACTTTGGTACTCTCGCAGAATCACCCCTCAGAGTCGCAGCGCAAAGCGCCTCATTTACTGTTGAGGGTCTCAGTTGGGGACCAGGGCTATTTCTTGCAATTGAGATCACGGTCATTTTGGCATCCGTTTAGCTGTCGGGGTGAACTGCGGTTGGTGGTTTCGAGCCGGAGGTGTGGCATGTGTTGTGGGCCGGGCAAGAATCTAGGGGTTATCCGCAGCTGCACCCAGTGGATTGAAGACTTTGGGGAGACTTGCGTCAAAGTTGAGCCTTTGGTTACGCGCTGCGCTTTGTTAGATCTCCCTGTTTACGGTGGGCCAGTGTACCTCCTGTACCGTCCAGATGTGAAATTGTGGACGTCGTCCATCTGGGGCCAGAGATGTGTAGGGTCACAGATGAGCACGCCGGAGCAGTGCGGATTCACGACGGTTCAGTTTAGGTTGTAACATGGTAAGCCTAAACCATAAGCCCTAAACACGAAACCGCCACTTACAACTTCAATATACGTATGAAACCTTGCTATGCATGACAATGCGTGAAGGTATCTGGAATCGGCGCACTCGCAAGTCGGTCTCGTGAGCCGCCACTGGCTTGCAATGAAGGGGGTATGCGGCGCAAGGTTCATGTCTGGGTTTCGATTGTGTTTTAAGGCCTGTGTCAAGTTGGTGTTTTTTTTGGTGGTCGGGGTCGTCAGCCAGCTGAGAGTTCGAAGCCACTTTAAACCTGGTGTATTCTGCCTGAGATGACTCGGAGAGATATGTTGGCGGCCATCCCCACACAACTCGCCGCCAGCACTTAAGACTTACCCATGAACCCAAGGAGTCCAGAGCAACTTTCTGTGTTGGCTGTTTGCCCGGGTTTCTGAGTTAGGTGGGTGTTCACCCCAAACCCTAGGTCAACATTCCGCAGAGCTTTCAACTGCTTCCCAGTTCGCTAAACGTCTAGCTTTCCGTTGCGAAGCTGTGGTTGGGAAACGAAGAAAAATATTCAATTTTAGTGTTTGGGGCTGTCGGTTTTTATGGTTTAATGGTGCAGGCTTTGGGGTTTGGTATATACTGCGCACGTCACCGGGTCCATCAGACTCCTTCATTCGCGATCCTAAGTCCCAAAGCCTATTCTTATCGCTTGGACCTCTGAAATCCGAAAACGCCCTGCAGTTCGGAACAACAAAACGCCGAGGGCCCTTTTCCCCCTGCAGTTCCATCTCTGGACCTTGAAGCCAAAAGGTCTTCCGAGCCTTGCATTTATAACAGCACACCCTCGGCACCCCTAAAGAACACTCCAGGTAACCCGGGCACAAGGGAGGATAGTAAACCGTACACAACCCTGTAGAGCCCAACGACTTTTGGGCAAGTGCCCCAGGAGCGACTGAGCTTACAGACCAGTACTTGTTGCTCGGCTTCAAGTCAGCTTTGCCATTACGATTCAGGGTTGACATTTAAGCTTAATTAAGCTTCACGCATCAAAGAGTTTTTACGGTTGCGCAGAGTGGTTGGTGAAAAGCAAGGAAACACTATGTTTCGGTTTGCCTTGCCAACTGTGCAGGCGTGCATGCCTGCGCTTCATAGTTATCGTACTTCTGCCATGTCAATGTCGTGAACCTTGGGTTTGGGCTAAACAATGGCGGCAGCTTTGCCAGCTTTGCCCTGGCCTTCAGCAAGCCTCCGGCCCTAAGCCCTCCCATTCCGGGGGCTGCTGAAAGGAAGACCCTGCAAGTTGCAAGAGAGGCTCAGACCCCAGAAACTTGGGGCGGCAGCTGAGGGAACGATTTCTGGTACTTGTGACTCCGGGTTTAGTATGTAGGGGTTGAGGGTTTAGGGGTGGCGATGTAGGTGTTTGGGCCTAAGGGTTTGTATCAACGACCTAGCGCTTACCAATTTTCGGCTTGCGTGAGACGTGGCAGCGAGATGGGATCCAGAAGCCAACACCCAGAGGGCAGGTACAGCAAATCACAACAGCTCTCTATCCACGACGTTGAAATCCAACCGGTCTGCCATGCCGTTTGCTCTTCTCTCTTCTCCCTAACCAGCAGCCCCGATTGAGCTTTGAAAGATCCATTCACCCTAAACCGCAAATCCTAAACCCAAAGCCTCCGACACCCGAAATAAACGCTAATCCTCAACCATGAGCCCGCAAGCCCGTTTAACAAGGGGAGCTTCGGCTCAAATCTTAAACTCTGAAATCCCCAAAGACCATCTAAAACCCCGAAACCCTGAAGCCAATCCTAAACCCGAAACCCTGCAGCCAAGGTCCCAATGCAGCTCCGACTTTTGGGAGCTGTCTCTGGCTGCTCGCAAGGCCATGGCTGCAGGCTGCCGGGTAAGGGTTTATCCGGAGTCTGATTTAGGGGTTTTGGGTTTAGGCTTTCGGGATAAGGGTTTGGGGTTTGGGTTTGGGCTTTGGGGGCTTGATGCTTTTGGGTGTTTTATTTTGGGTGTTTTCGGGCGCCAGGTTTAATCGAGTTTGAAAAGTTGACAGGCTTTGAGTTTGTGTTTGGCGTGCTAGGGTTCAGTTGTTGGTGCTCAGGTTTCAGAAACTTGGGTTGAGGCATTTTGTTGTTCTGGAGTTTTCGGATATTAGTCCGACCGGGCTAAGGGGTTTAAGACGTAAGGCTTGAAGTTGGTGTGTTGCTTGGATTCAATGGTTTAGGATTCAGGGCTTGCAGACAGCCGGATCGGAAGTTGTACAGCTTCGTGTTTCATCAGTTGAAACGACAAAAAGCTGGATCAGGGATGTTAAGCCGTGCATCCTGAGATTTCCAGCCCTAAATAGATGAGGGTTTAGAGTTTGTGCTTTGGTGGGCTGGGGTTCGGGCCTCCGCCGGTTACAGTTTCGGCGTTCCCCTGCCACCCCGTCTTCGGTAAGTCAAAAAGAAGACATAAAGCCAAGTCGACCCTGCTCTTTGAGTTAGAACCGCCACTTGCTCCTGGTTTTTTGGGGGTCCTCAGAATGAGAAGCTGAGAAGCTTAGCTAGCTGTTGGGGCCTGTGTCAACAGTCCCGTTGCTCGAGCTATAAGAAAAACTCTCGGTGCTTGATTCTCGCCACGGAGGGTTCGGGAACCTGGGATTACAGGGCTCGTCACCCTAACCAAAACGAAGCACCATGAAACCCAGCCTGTGATCTTAATTTCCATGACCGACGCAGTCTGAACTTAAACCAAGAGTCGGGTGTAGAGGCCTGCGGCTTTGAAACTGATAACGCCATAGGGCCGACTCAACGCGAATTCCAACCGCTCCCATCGTCCCCCTCTCGGCCCCGTCCTGCAGGGCAGAGGCAGAAGATGGGGCCTTTGGGGCAGGGGCGGTGGAGAGGGGTGTGTGGCCCTTTAAGGTCTTAAGAGGAGAGAGGTCCTGTGCTGGGCGTGTTTGTGGCGCTTCCAGACCCAGACCCAAGCGCACCGTTCAACTCTCCTGAAACCGAGATGAGTTCTTGGAGCCAGGCAAGAAGGCTGCACGCTCTGCTAGAACTGCGATGAATCGCGTCGCCCGGCACCACTTACTCTTGAAGTCTTGAAGCCAACTCAGAACCTGACAATTGGCCATATGACCTCTCTGCCATGAAAAGGTGTGACCTGCTTAGTCTGGGAATTTAACCTTTAACCGATTTGGCATAGTGGCTACGGTCATGAGACGGCAAAGCTTCAGGGCAGCAAAGAGGCTAAAGGTGTAGGGTTGGACTATTCAAAAAGTCCGGTTGGTTTGGTAGCTGTTTTGGGCTCGGGCTCGAGCGTTTGAAGCTGCTGCTTTAAGCTCTCCCCGGCTAGGAACATGTTGTGCTTGCTTGAAGTTTCCTGCAACTTCCGAGTCTTGTTGACATGTCTTACTTCTCTGTGCTCAGAACGAGGGAACTCCTACCAGACGTACACCGTCGGGTTTTTGTAGGGCTTCACAGTCCAATGATATGCTATGTACCTGGGCCGAGCTGGGAGGAAGGCTACCAACCGCCCTTTCATTTTGGGGGGTCGGTAACGAGAAACGCCCGTAATTTCGACATGTCCGCAGTCGGGCTGTTTCCCTTTCGCGTTCGCACATGTCTGACCCCCAAGCCTTGTGGCAACATCGGGTTTAGGGTGGTGGAGAATTTCGTGCTAACGGACGTTTCCCTGTTGAAGTTGCTATGTTTGCTACCCAGCAAGCTTTGAGCAGTTCCCTCATCGAGGTCGACCCTGCCATGCAAGCTTACTGTGTTGGGGTTGCAGGGTCAAAGTACATGCTACAGAGATACATGAACCGGCAGGGATGGTGTCATTCTCTGCTAGAGTCTCTAGATTTCCAGAAAAGCCTTAGGCCCGGATCCCCACTGTATCGTTGAGGTTGTTACGTTTGTCGTCAATCCACTTAAGCCGAAGGCCCTAGTTCCCGGCCCAACTCCAAACCACCTAAGCCGTGGCTTGTACCCTACCATAAACTGCAATCGAGACCAGAGGCTCGGCTTCAGCTACCCCTCAGCAACCCTACAAAAACTAGATAGGCTAAGATGTTCAGCTCACCCTGTGTGAGGTCACGCAAGAAGTGGGGCTACTGGCTGCCACTTGGAAGCATGTCATTTGTTCCATTCTGTGCAGAAGAGCAAAACCCCTCAGCCCTCTAAATTTCCTGAAGCCCTGAAGCACTAAACCGAACCCCACCCTTAAACCCCTAGACCCTGAACCCGCTATACCCTGAACCCGAATCCTAAACCCAACCGCCTATAAAACTCCTAACCCCCAAAACCCTCAAAACGGGAAAGCCCGTGACCAGGACATGCTCGTGGACGGCGGCCTCGCCCGACACGCCACAGAGGCCGCCGCAGCAGAGATCACGGCTTTGGTGTCATCGGCCGCAACCGGTTCAGGGTTTAAGGCTTTAGATCCAGGATCTACTGTTTAGGAGTTTAGGGTGTGGATTTCGGCTCAGGGTTTCGAAGCGTTCAGAGCTTGAGCTTCGAGAAGAGGGATTCCAAGGTTCAGGGTTCCGGCTTCTGGGTTTCTATTTGTGTTGGGTTTGTTTCTTTGCTCAGATCAGCCAAGACTGGAATGACCAGAGTTAGCCGTAGGTGCACAAGGGCACTTTTAGCCCAGAGGCGATTTGTTTGTTTGTTTTGTGGAGAGGTCTTTGAATGTAGAGCTGGGGAGCTGATTGCGTTCACGCACGGCTTGTGGGCCTGTTGCCAAGATCATTCGTGGAATGATTCAGGACGCATTTGTGTGGTGCTTTGGGTGTACGCATTGTATTTGATGCCCCTTTCGTCCGAAACCTAGCATTATCGACAAGAGCCGAAAAGAAACCAGAGTTTTCATGTTGAGTGTCTGAGTCGAGACATACATAAACGTGTGTGTACATACCTGTATGTAGAATACGGTATATGAAATTCGATTAACAGATAACATAGAATACAACATGGCAGAAGTTAAAAACGATAACATAGCATAATATAATGTAATACAGTAGAATATAAGATAATAAGGTAAGCTACAACATAAAGTGAAGTAAGAATGCAAAATAGTGTAATGTGGTATAGTATGTTATTATAGAGTATAGAGGCGAGTAGAATGGAATAGACTATGACAGAATATAGCAACATGCAACAGACTTTACTATTGTAGAATGTGATATAGGGCAATATAATACAGCATAACATAATATAATATTGTTCATCTGTTGTAACATTCACACAATGTAATATAATACAGTGAAACATAAGCTAATATAACACAACATAATATACTGTAGTACAATACACCATAGTACAATCCACCGTAGAACGATTCAGTATAATTCAATATCGTATGAAATGCGTTATAATGCAGTACGATGCAACAGAATGCAATGCAATAATGTAATGAGATACCGTAGAATAGAATCGTGTAATATAGTAAGATAACGTATAGTAGAACAAAAGAGTATGTAGGTCTGTCTGTCTGTCTGTCTGTATGTATGTATGTTTGTATGTTTGTATGTATGTTTGTATGTATGTACACATATATGTGCGTGCGTGTGTGTGTGTGTAGACCTCCGCTGAGAACGGTTTAGAGATTTTCGTCTTCGAGGTATCACAGAGCGTTGAAACTGTGACCCTGGACGAGGAGGAGATTCCAGATGAGGCAGGATATAAGACGAAGTGCTCTTGCTCCGACACGGTGCACGTTTTGCTCTACAGCTCCAGCAACCTGGGTGCCTGCTAGACTTTCGACCTGTAGACTCGAAGCTGGTATAGGCTCATGTTGCGCCATGCCATCGTCGACTGTCAGCTGCCACGCCTGCTTTAGCTTTTCAGGTGCAGCAGACAACTCCGAAACCCTTAATCTTGAACTCTAACAGCTCAACCTGGAGCCCCCAAAACTGGAAATCTTCAGATCCATACAAGGCTGGCACTGATCCTGTTCGTGATGCCCAGATTCAGGAAGCCACCAAAGCTGCATACCAGTAAAGTGGGGTTTCGGGCGTGTGTAATGGGGCCTAATGGGGCCAGCTTGAGTTCCGGGCTTGCATTGGTGTTGAGGGCTTCGGGCATTGAACCCATTCTCTTTGCTGATAAACTCCAAACAGACCACAATAGAGTAGTTAGTAGTTCTTCAAATCCATCATGGGGTTGTCGCATGGGCGCTGGAGATATGCCCCATCTTGGCCGGACAGAGCCTGCCTTTTGGTGGGTTTCCATATCAACGTTGAGAAGTTAATTCGACAGACCCTGCGAAAGTAGAAAATTGCGAGCAACTTGGAGACAAATCCTGCTTGCCGAGGGCATGTGATCAGGATCCCCCAAAGACCTCGGATGTTTGCGTCTTGCGGGACTTGGGGTTTTGAGGTTTTATAGGGTTTTACAGGGTTTAGGGTTCGGGGCCGACGTTAAGGTGGAAGGTTAAGAGTTAAGGCTGCTTTTGAGAGTCCAGGGGATGCTGAGGCTCAAATGCGGCATAGCCCACAGAAACTCAGAAAAGCATTATGTCATTATGTTGCAAAGCGACTGCTGAAGTGTGGAGTTTAGTGTTTCTTGAGGTTCTATACAGGCTAAGGCTGCTGTTGACACGGCCTGCGCACCACGGTAGTGCAAATCCTGCAGAGCTCAGAGACGAATCATGTCAACGGCCTTATCGACATACCATCCAACTCAAATCTGGGAATCAGAAGCACAACGACCTAAATCAACATAATCAATTTCGAAGCGACATCAGCTGCCAACTCAGGTGGTTCAGCTACTCCAAGCTTTCCGGCCAGCTGATGTTCCAGCTTCAGTGTCGGCACTGCTGGCACAGCGCACCGTCGGCACGCGCGAGTTTGTGGGATGTTGGACGAGCAGAGCTTTCGTATACAGACTGCTACACCCAAAGTCCATACCACATTCACCAGGGCGTTGAGGTTTCAGCATAATCACAGGTTTGCTGTTGCATTGATGGTAAAACGGGCGTGGGAAACGCACACGCAGACAACTCCAAAAGGCAACAGTCCATCACGAAGTAGGAGGCCACATTATCCAAAAGCCCAGCTCCCTAACCTCTGCCCTGGACCTAACGAGGCTCTCAGGTTTCGGTGCCATCTTAGTATCATCTATGATCGGTGTATGGAGAGCTTTAGACTTTCCGGTTTGTCCGGGCTCAAGCATGGTAAAGCCTGATTCCTGTCGCAAGGCCACAGCTCCACCAAGCGCCTTGGCATATCGAGACACATATAGTTTAGAGCGTATGGGCTCAGAGTCTCTCCCTGTCTCTCTCTCTCTATACATATATATATATATATATACAGAGATAGATAGATAGATAGATAGATTAGATTAGATTAGATTAGATTAGATTAGATTAGATTAGATTAGATTAGATTAGATTAGATTAGATTAGATTAGATTAGATTAGATTAGACTAGACTAGACTAGATTAGATTAGATTAGATTAGATTAGATTAGATTAGATTAGATTAGATTAGGTTTGATAGATAGATAGATGGGGAGATAGGGAGATAGGGGGACAGATGGATAGATGGATAGATGGATAGATAGGTAGATAGATGAGCAGATAGATATTAGATGGATAGATATGATAGATAGATAGAGTTTTGGTTCTGGGATTTGGATGTTACGGGTCAGGCGGAGAGCCGTATCAAACAAGGTTGTTCACTGAGTTTGTGGATGCTTGCTAAAACTGTTGTTAGACTAGGTGCGTGAGACCGTATGGAACTCAACTCAATCCCTAAAAGCTCTAAGCCCTCTAATGGTTCCCCATCATTAGACCATGAAGTCTGCGCCCTTAGGACTCTAAAAGCCGTGAGCTATGCCTATGCCCTAGCCCGGCATTGAAGTCTTTGAGTTTCGGTGTGTAGCGACTCGCTAGAGGGCTTGAGTCTATACTACATAATGAGGCGTTCGGACCTAGAAAAACTCCTTGAATCTGCGAACTTTACGAATATTTCAGAGATCGTCTGTCAAGAACTTCAGGCTCTGGCAGCAGATCTCCTAAGCCGGCTGCATCACCGCATGCCACCTTTTTTGCCCAAGGCGGGCCGAACAACCCAGAGGTATGGTCAACGGACCCATGCCTTCTGAATACAACCCGTCTAACTAAGTCTATATACATATACATATACCTACCCATACACATACATGCATACATGGACATTTCTATACATTTATCTAGTTGAAAGCCTCAGGGACCTTTTTGGCATGCTTGGAAGTAAGCCAAGTACACTTTGTCCAGCACCACAAGCCTTCGGTTTTTCCACGGAAGACCAAACACGGGTGCAGGCGTTTGAGTCTTTGGACCAGGTTTGTCGGATTTGGGCTATCGGGAGTTAGGTTGAGCAGAGCAGCGTTGGGCTGCTCACACCCGGACAGAAGTCAACTGAGGCCGAGGTGCCCACATGGTCCTAAGCCCGCAACCGGAAGACGTGAAGTGTAGATTACACAAGCCCGGCACCCGAAGCCGCATTGAAGATGCCCTCAACCGCAAGCCCCAATCCTTCGAAAGCTTTCTTCTTGAAACACCATAGATGCTGTTTTGACCTCAAACGAAGTCCTTGACCCAACCCCCTCCTTCATGTACCCTGCGTCCATGTCCTAATCCGTGAACCCCAACACTCTCAATCCAATCCGTACAAGCGCTTGTATACGTAAGAACGTAATGCGATAGAACAGGCAAATTGAAATGTAAGACCAATGCGAAGCCCAGAGGGTTCTTAGACTAGCATCTTGCTCTTCATACCCTTCTCTTCACAACCGTGGACCGTGGACAGGCTTTGGCCTCCTTCTACCTGGTCCAGGACACTTAGTCACGGGAGGTAGTAAGCAGATAAAGTGCAAGAATGGCGTCCGAGGTCTGGGGGAATGTGTTTCAAGGCTATAACGGTTAAGGTTCAGAGCTTGTTGTACATATGGAAAGTATCTCTTCGAAGTCGGTTGCAATAACCATGACAAGGGTGCCACAAGGAGTACAGCCAGGACCTTAGTCTCAAAAGGCGGAATTGGATAGCTTGAGCTTTAATCTTTCGACGCTTTCAGTTAGAGGATTCCAAGTCAGTCTGCTGGGGCTTATCATGAATAATTCCAGAATAACTCGTAGTAGTGGCATCTCCCCTGTGCGAGTCCCTTATCACAGGTAGTATCCACTCCCCCAGCCCCCTTGAAACTGTTAAGGCTGTTGTGGTACAGGGTTCAGGGTGACTAGCTTGGGAAGTTCAAAAATAAAACAAAACAGAGACGTCAGGGTGTTTGATTGAAGTCTAACACTAATCGTCAAACCTAGGATTTGGAGCCAAGCTTTCCGTTCCGGCTGCACGTTTGAATGTCATGGCGGCGCGTATTATTGTGTTTATCGAAGCAGCTTGGGGGCTCAGCTTGCCGACCCTGCTGTGCCTCAGCACTTCAGTGCTGCTTGGGCTGGCAGTGGAGGCAAGCAAGGCCCCCGACACGGTGCTCAAACCACTGGCAGAAAAAGTCTGTGAAGAGCGCAGACAAGGAGTCAGCACGTGCAAGGCTCGTCGCTTGTTTGTCGGGTTTTGCATATAGACGTAGACGATTTAAAGTTCAAGAAGTTTTGGGGATGGGGATCTGAACACAGACCTTTTGAATCACCCTTGCGTGCTGGGAACTCGCTTCCTACCCTGGCATACGCAAGGCTCTGCCGGTTCCAGGAGGCCTCAGGCAACAAATCCACAAACCCGCGCGCAAAACCAACAGGGCTTAGGAGTGGTCCGAAATCCAATAACTTATAAACCCTACAACATTGACAATCTCCGGCACCGGTGGCTGCAGGACCTCCGCCAGCGCCATGACATGCATGGCTTGGCCCGGTCTGGTCATCAGGACATCGTTTTCAACGGGAACTTAGAGTCTCCGGGCTAGATTCATGAAGTCAAGCGTAGTGGACTTGACGTTAAGGATAATCTGGATTCAGGATGTCTACGATTAGTGCAGGGGTTTCGTTCAACGCTCAGGGACTCAGGGTTTGCGGTTTAGCTCAGATCATGAAGGCTGTGTGGCAAGTCTTCAGAGCTTCGGCGTTTCGTTCAAGCCTGTGTGGTGCCTGAATTGATCTTGCCTGTGTAGAAGCTACGTTCTGGTTGCGCACCCGATCCCCAGAGGATCCTCGGGAAATTCAAAAACTCTGGCTGCCGGGGTATATCTTAGCTATGCTTTCGTTTGAAGGGAGTTCGGCGCGAGTAGCTCACCTCTTACAAGGCTTCGAGCATTGGATTTGCAGTTTGGGTATCGTAGATGGCCCCCTTCGAGCCTTTGAGCAACGGGCATCCATGTGGACAGATTCGCCGCAGGACACGCAGCTAATGGCAGCGGCCTGGGCACGTGACTGGGATGTGCAATGGGAGCTTAGGATGCTTGGGAAATGTAAGCCATCTTGCCGTAAACCTTAAGCCCCAGGCCAAAACCTTATAATTACTTCCCACGAAATTTCAGAATCGTAAATCCTTTGATCAACTTTCGCAGCTAAAATGCTGAACCCCTGAATTTACTGAGCCCGAAGCCGTCGCCCTAGCAGAGGTCAAGTACTTAGAATACCTTGGTAAGATTGTAGTAAAACTCCTCCATGACCCTTTCGTTTCAAGCGAATTCGACATAGCTTCGGTCTGGTCTGACTCCTGCGAGCCCAAATTTGTGGTTGGCATGTAAGCTGTAAGCTCGTTAATTTATCTTTGCTTGGGTTTGGGTCTTCCTTCCTTTGAGGCCGTGGACATATATATGGGCTCTATACTATACGGTTGTATAACGGTTTCGGGTTTTGAAGTCAGCTCGATCGGCATTTCCGTTTTTGTTGGGGGGTGCTTGGGCTCAGGATTCACGAGTCGGGGGGCCGGAGTGTGAACGGCTGCTGCAGGGCAACATAATGGAAATTCCGCTGCTGGAACTCCTGCTCGAGTGATCATTATGATTACAGGGTTATTTTCGAATCATTCCTATTAGTATTATTGTTGTTCTTATTATTGTTATTTCTTCTTCTTAGTCAGGTTTGATTATTATTATTATTATTATTATTATTATTGCGATGGTTATTGTATGATTATTGGTAGTGGTGGTAGTAGTAGTAGTAGTAGTAGTAGTAGCAGCAGCAGTAGTAGTAGTATTACTAATTATTTTGCCACTGTTGAACAGCCCCCTGGGCTCCAGGAGTCTCACCCACGGAAGTCATTTCGCATGGATTTCAGAGCCATGAATTGTCGTGCCCGCGAAACTCAGGAAATTCGGGTCGCAATCGCGCTTTCCTGCTTTGAAGTAGCTGCCTTGTTCGGGGTAGTTCACATTGCATGTTAGTGGATATGTGAGGGCTCTGGGACCCTTATCCGTTGAGTTCATTTGCAGCACGGAGTCGGGCGTTGCCTGCCGAGCCCAGGGCCCAGAATCAGGAAACCTCATTTCGAACGCGCCGCAGGTTTGGATTCGGAGATGGCGAGACTGGCAGCCGAAACACGGGTGCCCTGCGGCATTCAGACAGTTCGCGCATATTAAGTCGACCTCTGAATCCTCAACCCTGCTCCAAAAACCTTGGAGTTTAGAAGGTATCTAGAGCGAATTCGTGCGAGAGGGGGTCAGTTGCAGTGAACTTGTCTGAGTAGTTACAAAGGACCCAAACCCCACACTCCTGAGCCCGAAACGGCAGAAACGTGCACTGGCCTAAAGATCCTGAAGGTTTTCGGTTTCGTGGCATTTCGAAAGGGATCGAGAGTTTGAGCTCCCTTGCTACGTCCGGAAGTCAGGGGTAGTAATTATGGAGGAGTTTGAGATGTTTGAGGCTGCAGCACCCCAGCCTGGTGTCTGAGTTTTTCTCCTACCTCCCTCGTCATCAGAAATACCAATGATCGCCATTACCGTCGCGTCAGTTGCTATTACCGGCAGAACCAACGTCCTTCTAAGGTCGCTGGCGCGACACTGGGAGCAGCCTTTGCTGAGCGTGCGAACTTGGCTCTGGAGGCGTGCTAGCGTGTTAGCTTCTGGATCATGTCCGATTTGAATCATGACTCTGAGGTTACGGGCTTCAGTGTGTTTAGGGGATACGGCGGATAGGACATGTGTCCCAAGTAAGGCGAAATGCAGGATTGCAAACAACGTGTCAGGAACGACTTGTTGGTGCCATCGGGCTACTGTGGCATAGTGCTATGCCAGGTTTCCTGCTTAAGCGGTTCTTATTTGTTTATATATGTTTGTATAGTTCCAGGTCGAAGCACTTCTGGCTCAAGGACTCACCATACGTAACCTCAAGGCGCTCCGGGCCATACCCGCTTATAATCCCATCTGCCAAGCCAGAAAACCTCAAACGAGCCGTCCGAACTCTTCCTTTCCTCCCAAAGTCGTTGGCCCCCAGAAGCCTCCAGAAGCTTGAGCTCGAAAGTCCTGAACTTCGGAGACCCAAAGGGTCCAAGTACCATTATAGTAGGTACTTAGTAGGTATTTGGGCCCCCAAAGTATATACTATACTAGTACTTGGACCCTTTGGGAGAGGCACTGGCGCCCATCCCGGACTCTTGTCGCTCCCTCGTGCGGGGCGCGGGCTGGGCCACCTGGAGCCAGGCGGTCCAGCGGTCTCAAGCTTTTGAGGGCCAGGGCTCCTCTATAAGGGGAATTGGATTAGGGGTTTGGGGTTTAAGCGTTTCTGAAGGAGGTACGTACTATCAGGGATATTGGGTTTCGGGTGTGGGTCTATAGGGCTCTTGTAGAGGATTGCCGTGAGAAGGGGATTGAGAATTTGTCGTTTGGGTTTGGGATGCGGGGTTATACGAAAGTCAGGTTAAACCGTGTCAGGGCCGTGCGGGCTTGACGTTTCGGAATGAGGGTATATACGGCTTGAGATTCCGGCCAGCGTCCGTTTTGGGGTTTATATTTATGGTTTCGGCGTGGGTTCGGAATGTAGATCTAGTGTGTATATGGCTTCGAACTTACAGTCACATCATAGCAGTAGCTTTGCCACCGTAGTATAGACGGATTCTTAGAATAAGACCCCAAAACAGCAGTAACCTTACCGTCTTTTTTCTAGAGCCTCGCTCATGTTCGGAGTTTAGGCTTTGGGGATCTAGAGCAGATGGGGGCGTGGGGAACTGTGAGCAATGACCGACAGGGAGGGGCCCACAAATGCCACAAGCAGAGGATTTACATAGACTTTCGGGCTCTGTGCCTGGAGGCATATCGCACCAGCACCGCCAGCTGGGTGCTGGTCAAGGGGGCGGCGCACCTGCTGCAGTTGCCCGGCTCAATCTTATGCGGCAGGGTTTAAAACAAAAACTGCATTGCATCCTAAACCCGGAACGCCAAAACCGAACCTAAACCCCTAAACTCGTAAATCCCAGGCTTCGAAGAACTAGATCCTACACTCTTAACCCGGGGTGCCCGGAACATTGTGGACGTCCGGGTTGCAGGTGTTGCTGGCTTCGGGGGATGTCGGGCGCAGAGTGGGCAGAGTTTTCAGAGGCTTAGGAGCCGAAGCCTGCAGCTTTAGGTTGCTTTTGGAAGTGTTTTGAAGGACCGGTTCACTCATCTTGTTCTTGCTTCTGGGCCCAGGAGCCTAAATCCTACAGTTGCTGGTCGAAAGGCTTCAGTCGTACACCCTACCGGGCTTCTGAAATCGAGAACCTTGGGAGCCACGCTGGACCCTGAAGCCCCTCCATGCCGAGATCAGACCCCGTGAATTGAGGGATCATCCCAGAGCAACCCGATGGCTCAGGCACAAGCCCGGTTATCATCGAAGCCACCACGACTTTGCCCAAGGAGGCGTTTGCTTGATTCCACCGTTTAGGTCTTTAGGGCTGGAGGTTAGGAGGGTCCAGGGTGCATGCGAAAGTGTGATGATCAAAATACCGGCCATAGAGTCAGCTTATCACCCTGCCTGGGAAATGTTGTGGAATGCCCTGGCCTTGGGTTGTGAGATCTTCCGAAACTGAGAGACCTTGAGAGGATACTGGAGGGCTGTCAATTCCCGGATTCATCAGCAGTCGTCCGGCTTTCGAAGGCCTCAGCCCTGCGAATGCAAGATTTTGGTTTAAGATCCCTCAAGTCCGAGAAGCCACGCCACCTCGACTCCGGAATCTCGAAGGATGCGGTTCCAGTCCCAACAATCCCAACAGCAGTCATGCCAACCTTCCCCCCAATCGAAACCCCCGCACCGTCCTATGGCCCGCTGGGGCGAGGTGAAGTGGAGGCCGTCATTTGCAGTGCTGCGGAGGGTGTAGCTGGGCTCAAAGTGATTCGGGTTTTACTTTCAGGGTCTGGGATAGGTCTAGACTTCTCCAAGAGGTGATGGGTTCTATACTCCAGACTCTGCCCGTCCGGGTTCTCAAGCATGCTCTAGCTAGGCTTCGAGAAGGCCTCTTCGATGCCCTTAACATACTGGGCTGTCACCCTTTGCAGCCTCGGACTGTAAAGACAGGTGTTTACGTTGCACAGACGTGCCAGAAATTTCCGGTTTGGGGCTTGGGAACGTTTCTTTACATCTATCAAAACTCAAAGACCCTCATTGGTGAGACGGAGCTTACTAGCGTCGGGCTAGGCAAACTTGTCCACCATGCGGCTTGGGGCTTAGAGATGAGGTGGAGCTTCGTTCAACGCTAGTGTTTTCCGTATGAGACGGGCCCTATGCCCTAAACCCTAGGCCCCATTACATGGCAGAGGATTTCGGACTCGAGCTTCATAGCACGGAATGTATCATTATCCCGAATGGTGTAAGGTTAGGGCCTGGGGTTTCGGTTTTAGGAGTTTGTCCATGACATGGGATGTAGTTGTGTTTTCGATGAGGACCAGGCGGAAAGCAAAACCCAAACCAAATAGACATCTTTCCCCGGACCCCACGACCCTCGCCCTCAAAATCTCATTTCGAAAAGAGCATTTTTCCCAAGCTCACGGGTGCAACCGTGTAAGTATGAGCTTGTAAGCTTGTATACAGCTCTACGGAAAAGTGTTTTGCGAAGGTTTTCTGTGCAAACTCCTCAACCTGTTAAACAGCTGAGGCAAAGCCCTCTGTGCGGCAATTGCACAAAGGAGAGCTCGTGAGGGCCTCAAGGAAATGGCACTTTGGATTTCTAGGCGGTAGAGATCTTAATAATCAGTAGCAATGTCCGACGTGCACGCCTCATAGTTTTTATGCTTCAATATACCCCCGAAACCCGACTCGTTTGGGCCTACACGAATTCTTGACATGCGATGCGTAGTTCAACTGCATTTCTGCGGAGTACGGCTGAGGCTTTCAAGGCTTCGGTTCCAAGGCTTTGGTTTGGGTTCGGCGGAGGCTCTGGCTTTGAAGCATTCGGAGTTGTTTCAGGTTTGATTGCAGGGTCCTGCGTCGACGTGGCGTCAGGACTCGTGGCGTCAAGACTTGGCTTGAGGGGTTGTATATTCGGGCTGACTTTTTGGCATGTTTCGGGGAACATAGCCAGAGATTAAGGACCCCAGTATAGAGACCTTACACCCTAAATCCTGAGCCCTAAACCCTCAAACCCTAGAGCTCTCAACCACACCCCTGTATAGAAACGCCCGCTCTGACCGGTAGTAGCCACCCATCGACTTGACTCCCATTAGACAACTCTAAATCCTGAGCGCTAAGCCCCAAACCCCAGATTCGAACCCCCAGCCCAAGGTGGTTTGCTTCCACAATGCGACGGCATCCTCACCCAGGTTCGCCCAGTCACCTTCGACTCGTAGGCTTCGGGTTAAGGGCTTCAAGGTTTGGTTGTGGGGCTGCGGTCCAAGGTCAAACGAGTTTGAGGCTCTGGTTTTGCCCCTCTACAGTCAAGGGCTTCAGGCTTATGAGGCTGTGCAAGTACTTTAGTTTACAACTTAGATAAGTTAATTTGGGGCCCAGGCTCTAGGCCTTCGGATCGGGAGTCTAGGGAGAATTCCCGATTTCGAGCTGGGCGAGCCTTAGGTCCAAGGACCAAACTAAAAGCACTCGGTGTATGGTTCAAGGTGTAGTATGGGGTTTGGGGATGAGGGAAGTAGAAGTTCGGCGTTTCGGCTCCAGCGTCGAAATTCCAGGGTTAAGTCGCAGGGCTCTTCGACTGGGCTGAATGGATAACAAGAACCGTGCGCGAGCCAGTAATCAACGGGCCCCTCCTTTATAGTTTACAGCCTGGGGGTTTTGGGAAACCCTCAACCAGTCCCAGATTTTTGCATTGCAGGCCTGCCTGCACCGAGACCTTGAGTCTTGAAGGGCTCGCAACTCCGAACTTCTGGGCCGTGCCTTTGGACAGCTTCTAGGGCTCGGCAATTCTGCGACTCTCTGGTGGAAGTCTAGGATCTGGAATCCCTCGACCCTATCAGCACTAAGCCTTCTAACACTAAGCCTTATACCAGTAGCATCCGCACAAATGACAGAGTGCCACAAGATTTTGGTGTAGGTCAGCTCGGACACTTGAACAAGGTTCACTTCCAAAGATAGGGGTCGGAGTCGGAAGACTTATGCATAGTAGCCCCTTACGGTCCCCACAAAGTTCTACACCATCGTATGATGTAGACAATAACCCGATGCGCTGTACTCAGGCGCCCGCGCTAACCCTTCAACCGGGAGCTCCAACTCGCCACCCTATATATGACCTAAACTTGACGGGAGCACATACAATGATCCAGTGGAACAGGGACGGGTCGCGGCCTGAAGCTGTACACCCAAGGAGGCTGTTGCTAAAGTTCATGGTTCCGGCTTTCCGCGAATGTTGCCCTCGGTTAGGGCTTTGAAGGCGGTGCCTGAAACTCGGAAGCCTCTGCTGCATCCAGACGATTCCTATTCGGGCACGGCAATTAGCATTTGAAAAACAGAGTTGCGCGTGGCGGGACATTGCTGCCAGGTTTGGGCTTCGGGTCGGCGAACACAGTTTGCAGTTTCGTTCGGGCTTCTGAGTTGCTCTTTACTAAGGCGTGGTGAGGGCGGCAACTTTCCGCATAGGCTGACAGGTTTCTGGTCTACGGTGTAGGTGCAGGCCTTGTGTTGGTCCAAAGGTGGGTGCGTTGCGACAAGGTATCTCTTTGACCATCTCGCCGCCATATAAAAACAAAACACGTAAAATACGCCTGAAAGCCAATGCATCCTGGGTGCAACAGAGGCTTTTTTTTTCGTCCCAGTTGAGATGCGAGTTTTGGGGAACGGAGCACGTCGCCTCTCCTTTGCAACATGGTTTCTGCCAGTTGCCGAAGCCTGTGGCCACAGCGGGAGCTCAAAATCGGATGCAGGCTTTGTCAAACTTTCTATCACATACGCGCAAACGTATACAGATACACAGAAAGAAGTAACAAATTCATAATCAGTAAATGAAGAGTGTGTATATGTATATATAACCTATATACATACCCATGTGTGTATGTGTATAATATATATATATATATATATATGTATGTATGTATGTATGTATGTATGTGTGTGTACACGCATCTACATATATACACGGACACAGACAGACACACACACACACACAGACACAGACGCGCGAACACACACACACACAAACACGCACAAACAGCTCAACACTCTGGATCTCGCTACACGCGGCGCAATGCTGACATCCCGCCCGTCTGAATTCCACGTGCGAGCCCTGTTCGAGCACAATCGGATCCACCACGTCCTAGAATCCTAGAAAATGGACGGTTTCTCAATTCATTGGGGTAGCTGCCCGGTCATATCCGCATGCAACCGAACCCAAAGCCCCATGCACTTTGGTCGAACGAGGAAGACGCCGCTTCCCGCAGTGTAGAAAGGCTCATGCAGGCGCAGTTTTGGCGGTGAGCCCGGGGGAAGACGTAGCCCGGACTTTGACGCGCCCCTTGATTGCAAGCAGATTCTCCGAACAGCACCACGTTCTTGACTCGAAGTCAATTTCCGAGACCCGGGAAATTAATTTTGGGAAAACTGGCAGTTGCAAGAGGCATGGTGCAAACGAAGATGCGGGTATACTCGTGGTAATGGTGCTACTCAGAGTTTGTTTCGAGTTAGCGTTTAGAGTTTTGGTCTTGGGTCTTATAGGAAGCAAACGTCACGGCTTTGGAGATTGGCTTCCGTTTCTGATTTTCGCGTCAAGAGCATGCAAGGCTGTTTGGCAGTTAGTGGCTCAGCGGGCTAAATGTTGCAGGATTTGGCTGCACGGGGTTTCGGATTCGGGACGTGATGTTGCTGATTTTGACTGGGTTTGAGGCGAAGCGGAAAGCCGGCGCCATGTCTGACAGCAAGGTCTTCCTAGGCGGGGCTTGGCCTCATCACTTGGGGTTCTAGCACTGCTACTAGTTTGTTCATGTCATCCACACGGTACACATGGCAGAGTCGGGAGTGCTAAATGGAGCTCCAGCCTGGTTCTACATGCGAGATCCCATGTCCGAAATGCAGGACCCTGAGCTGCACATGCTCCAGACCCTGGGTTCCGATGTTTCTGAAACACCGACTAGCGCATGAAACTCCGAAGCTCGAGAGACCTCCTGAAATTTTGCTCCTGCATCAGACTCAGGGCGAGTATGACTTTGTTTACCTCGACGCTATCGGTCAACCATCGCATCCGCACTTCTAGGGATACCGTAGTATTCACTGCTTCAGGTGCTGCACTCGATAAGCTGACTTCGGCCCTTCATTCTGATTCACTGATCCTACTCAGTTACGCTGCAAGCAGTACCCCTACTACAGTATGCTGCCACTCTTGCAATCCATTACTGCTGCTGCTGCTGCTGCCAAGAAGACGGCCAGCAATAAGTGCAGAGGAAAACTTTCGGAAACACGCTCCCAGCACAAATCCCCATACTCGTCATCAGTGTGCTCT